CTAAGTTAAAAAATCATTCTCAAACATATCATTGATCTCTAGAAACAATTTAAACATAGGATACATGATTTACTTCGATATCACATGGGCATAAATGAAAGAAAATAATTGTGTTTTTGATACATTAAAATAGAGTTAAAATAAAGATGAGAATGATTTATTTCTAACTTTGAAGTCTAAGTACTTTATTTCTCTTTCAAAGTTAATTGTTTTTCTTTTGACTTTTGCTATCGCTGCTCGTAGATTTCATGGTCTATAAAAATAGCTTCAAAAGCTCTAAAGATGAAAGCAAATTTCATTTTCGACATAGAGATAAGTAGATAGAAAAATTCATAAGTCGGCCCAAAATGAAAGTCATACATACAACAAGGGAGGGGGTCCCACTTGCGTTTGTCCATTCCGAATTTCGTTTTTTTCCCTTTTTCTTTTTAAATAAATATTCTGTCCTTGTATGAACTATGCAGCTGTGCGTGTTTTTACTTTTGTTTGTAAACTCATTTCCTCTGTTCCACTTTTCTGTGTTCACACTCTCAAGTCTCCAGTGTAAATTCTCATAATTTGAAAGAAAAAATAATCATAATCATATTTTCATCAAATTATTTATTCATAATTGTTTATTTCATTGTTTCTAAAAAGGAAAAAGATCGGGAAAGTTACTATTTTATACGTTCAAAGAGAAATTCAGAAAGAAATGTTACTTAAATTGGATCTGAAAGGAATAAACAAAAAGTAATTTTTATTATATATTTTTGGCTTTAGTAATGAGATAACTAAAGTCTAAAATATATAGATATATTATAAACTATTGTTTCTTTAAAGAGCGAAACTGAACCAAACCCCACTACGCCCATCAATCACCATCTTCTTTCGACGATATCCACTGTGAATTGTGATACCTCAAATTATTCCCTTAAAACTAATTCCCACCCAGAATAACCCTACTTCCACCTTTTCTTTTCTCTTTTATTTTATAAATAAAAATAGATTTCAGCGTCATTTAACTAACACTAACAATTGTTTGCCTTTTATGAATCTTGTAATTCCAAATAAAATACTAAATCTCAAATTACTTTTCATAATTAATTTTTTAAATATTAATTATGAAAAGTAATATCTGATGAATGTAATTGAGACTTTAAATTTGGAATTGAGATGCAAAAGGCAAACTAAATTTTAGTTGGACCAAATTTAATTTACATAAACAATAAACTAGCTTGTTAAAAAAGAAAAAAAGAATTAATTCAGCCTCGTGCACAGTGCACGCCTACGACTCTCGCTTGGCCTACAATTAAAAAAGAAAAATCTGGAGACATCAACTTTACCTTTTCTTTCTATCTCTCCTCTTTACGGGAGATTTACGAAATTGCTAGCATTAAAGTTAAATTAAATAATCAAAATAGATTTGATTCGACAGAAATGATTTTAACGTTTAAAATTTTATAATACGATTCTCTTTTACAATATTTGCAAGATTCCTCACCAGTTCGCCTCAACATCTTTCCTTCTTTTTCTCCCACAAAATTTGTACGAGTGAATAATATTTACCCTGTTATCCCATCTACAGTAGATGTGGCTAAACCATGCTTAAATTAGGTTGGTGATTAAATTTACAACTCCAAAATGTCAAAATATAAAACGTTTTACACTTTAGGAGCCGTTTGTTTCATTGGAACGTAAATGACTCAAATTTCATATGTATTGAATATTAGATGCTTGGCATTTTGTATAGCAATAATAGAAAAATGTATAAAAATGTTGGTAATATTAGATAGCTATTTTATAGTAAAATATGTAGGAATAAGGATTTAAACTGGTTCCTTTGAAAATAGATTACAAACATAAATAAGTTTTGGAGACCAAAAACTATACTTTAACCCAACCCAATATGTCTTTGGAGTTCAATAGATTTTGAAAAAAGATAATAAAAAAAATGTCATTTCTTTAACCTATTTTTTAATTAGTTTCTGTCACTGATGTAATCTTCTTTTTTTCACACCGTATTTAATAGATTTTTTGTTCATTCAATTTTAAACTAGTGAATTGTTTATATTCTCCATTTTATTATAATAGAAAGTACATCAATTGAGTATATCACACTGATATATTAAATATAAGATATATTTAAGGTACATCGATGTTATATCTAACATATATCATGACTATATCAGTGATAAATTAATAAATGGTAAATCATATAACCATATAAGAAGTTATATAAATGGTATATCAGTTCTATATACCAATAATTCCAACATGCAGTTACATGTTATATATACCAACAACATGTAATCACATCAATTGTTTATTTTAAACCAAAACTTCGATCTCAAAAACAATTTTTTTTTTATGGAACATGATATAATCATATCAAAAGTATATATATCAATACACATGTATCATAGCTATATCAGAAATATATCACTGGTAAATTGGAATACGTCAACTACATATCAAACATATATCAATAGTAAATCAATGATAAATCATATATCAGTGGTAAATCTCATATTAGAAGTTATATGAGTAGATGAATTAATAGTAAATCATATAATCACATAAGAAGTTATATCAATAGATATCATAGTTATATCAAAAGTAAATCAATTGTATATTAAATGTGTTTCAAATATATATTAAACATATATGTAGTGGTAAATCAATCAATAATAAATATATAATCATATAAGAAGTTATATTAGTAGATATCATGGTTATATTAGAGGTATACCAATGGTAAATTAGATACATATCAAGTATATATCACAAATATATCAATGTTATATCAATGGTAAATTATATAATCATATAATAAGTTATATCGGCAGATATCATAGTTATATCAGAAGTATATTACTTGTATATCAATGATAAATTAAAAGTATATCAAACATATATATAAGTGGAAATCGAAGGGAAATCGAAACGTAGGGTTTTCTAGCACATTTTGGGCTTAAATAGTAAAAACTAAAAGGGAAATTTGAGTGGATGACTAAATTTTGCCACCTGTTTTAAAAAATGTCTATTAGTTTTAAATTTTGCACAAATGGCTAAAGGGTATTTTAGAAGTTTTATAACGTAGTTTTTCAACAATACCATTTTCTATGTCTTTTTGGCTTTTTCTTATATTCAACCACCTAACAAACTTTGTTTTGAATTCAAAATGTTTTTCCAGGGATTTCAAGTTAATTATTTTAATTATTTTGTTTTGTATTTCAGTTAATTTAAACAATTTGTGTACAACGATTCATCTCTCATCTCATCGTTATGTAATTGTTGTATCTTCTTAATGTATATATACATATTGGCATCAATTGGTATATATACCTAACCACCAACGAGTATATGCTGTCACAGGTTATTTGTATTCTTGTTTTCCTATTTCTTTATCATTTAATAAATCATCTACAACAAAAGTAAATTAAAAAAAAATCAAAGACTAACAATCCATAAATCAAAACGATTAGAAAAATAGGTGATGCCTCTTAAATTTGTAGCCTTTGGGCGTGTATCGTCATCAGATTCAGTTTCTTAAACTTCTTTTGACGATGAGTTATTTTTCTTATGTTCATCGGTGGATTCATTATTCACTCTTTCATTCTCTTAATTAGACTTTGTATCGTCCTTTAAAATATTAGAAAATTTATCAAAATTAAAAGGTTAATAAATGTATATACCAACTAAAGAAAAATCAAAATTAGAATTCAATACACGTATATATTACCATGAAACTCAATTATGTCAATACATGTATATACCAATTCAAGAATTAACAAAATACAAAAGTCAATACATGTATATACAACTATACAACTCAAATATCATAAGAAGAATGTCAATATATGTATATACCAATAATTACCTCACTAACACGTTCGTCCTCAACTATCTTGAAACCCTTTCATTTTCCTGTAGCTCAGTGAATCTAATTTGTAAATATTACTGTAAAAATTAACAAACAAGAAATATATAAACTACTGCACCTATACATATTTTTCACTTTCTAAGTTGATTTTGCACGATTCCTTTGAACGTCATGTTATACCAATAGCTTTTAATCATTGTTGAGATGTTCCTCCTCTAACTTTAACCATATCTATAGATTCTATTTAGAATTTAAGCTATATAAATATAGTAAGTCTGTTGCAGTTGTAGATATATAGTTCTCAGATCTAATTATAAACAAAAGACACGTGTCGGTCCCACACTAGTATTTTTTTAAATACCCTAAAATATAGGAAAACCAAAACTATCTTTTTAAATACCCCTAAAATACGCAAAATCTGAACAAAGGGTCTTACCTCCCTCTTGCTAGAAGATGGGAGTTGGGCGGCAAATTGAAAACATATCGAAGCGGCAGTAGGTGGATCTGGTCTGGGGTGGTCGGCGGATCGTATTGGCCTTGGGCGGATCTGGTCGGGTGGCGGGATGGTAGATTTGGTTTGGGACATGGCGTCTCAAGCAAATATGGTACGTGTTGCGACCAACAGGGAGGGTGGCAGCGGTTGGGTGCGGAGGCGATATGTCTGGTTTTGGTTCGTGGACGGCGGCGTGAAGGTGAGCGACGCACGGATCTGCTTCGTGAGGTGAGCAGCAAGACAGGATGGTGGCCTTGAAGGTGAGTGGCGGGATGGCGGCTTGCGGATCTGCTTCGTGAGGAAGATGATGTATGTGGAGCGCATGAAGTTACGTGACACCAAAAGGTAGGAAGAAGGTGGGACTCCTAAAACCCCTAACTCAAGTCAAAGGTGATAACTAAATTTTATCATTTACCTAGTAATAATCTTATTTATCCCCTTATTTTGGGATTTTATAGAGGTAAATTTTAAAATCTACCCAACACATTTTTAATATTTTTTCTTAAATCAACTCTCAAATTATGATTATCAATTTTAAATTAGATTTAAGCTAATTATTTAAATTTGATTCATTTGACTATGATTTCGTAAAATGAAGGCCCGTTGTTTTTGCTATTATTTAAAATCTTAAATCCCTAAAATTATATTTTAGAATTTAACGGAAAAAATCAATTAACCATTATTACACTATTTCATAAGTTTGAACATTTTTTAAAACGGATTATTAATTTTAGTCATTCTTGCAATTGCCCCAGACTAAAAAGCTACTGATTTGTTGCGGGCTAGAGATAATAAGAAGTCTAAGCCCAAATCTTATATTTTGGTAATCTAATTTTGTTAAAACATTTTTTTAGATAGATAAATATGGTCAATTCATTTAATATTTTTTATGATATATTTATAACTGACTACAATTTTAGTAATATTTTATAAATAATATGAATATTATTAACAATATTTGATAAATTAGGGAGAAACAAAAAAGGAGATACTATAGTACCTTTTATATACTATATAGCTATAAATGAATGAATTTTGAAAAATGACACCTTTTATATACTATATAGATGTAGATTGATGGATAAGATAAATGAATGAATTTTGAAAATATAGTAAAGAAGATTATAGCCCACTTAAGATAATTTAAGGCTTGAGGTAAAAAAATTATATTCTGTTTTAATTTATTAACAAAATTTATATTTATTATAATTTTATATCTATTGATCGTATATCTGATCAATATTTATTTTAATTGTGTTTTTGAATTCATCCAAAAGTTGATTTTTTGTCGAGATGTTGTCCTCACATATATACCTATCATCTTCTTCTTTAATCAATATAAATCAAACAGTTCGTATCTTAAACGAATAACGATAATGTAATTTAGATAGATATTAATGATTGAAAGAGGGAATGATATATAATGGATAAAGAATAGCATTTCAAATGTGAACTAGAGATCGCATTTTCATTGCTATCTAAATAGAATCTCAATTTTCTTATGAATATACCAAACAACTTTAATTTGCTATAAAGTCTGGATTCTAATCCAACAAACTCTAGTTTTTTCTAAGTATAGACGAGGCCGAAGAAAAAACAAACAAAATAACTCCATCCAATCCAAAGCGCCAAACATAAACATAATTGTCATTTTTTTCTCAAATTTTAAAACAGACAAAATATAAACTTCATGTTTTGAAGAATTGGAAATAGATAAGAACAACAAAACCAAATCAAAGTGTTTTATTCCAACATTTATCCAAAATCTAAAAACACACTTCTTAATTATAAATAATAAAAACTTATATATTTTTAAAAAAGAAACTAAAATCAACAAACAAGAATCTATCTAAACTATCCCTAAATAATACATAATGCACTACAAATTTTACTCCATCATTTAACCAACTAGTAAAATTCTCTGTAGTTGAATCAAAATGGGTCATTTAATTTTTCACAAATTCATACCTAATAGTTGATCGATGGTGAAGCACGATTTATATGTTCAATACTCTTGATGTATAAATTTGACCAGATCTGTCAAATTTGTAGAATAAAAGGGATCAACGAGACATGCAAAACAAAAAAAAGCATTAAAGATTAGTGTAAGTCAGAATCGAAGTAATCGAATAGGAAGAATAAAGTGTTTTTTCATAGTAAATAGTGGAGGTTTGTAACATACCATATTTTCCTTCTATTTACGAGGAAAAACCTAATACCCTACGAGAATCTAGAGACAATCGAGATATTTTTCCTTTGGAATTTGAATGGCAGAAAAATAGAAATTTTTTCATCCATAACAAATAAAAAATGAATCATAACTTCAGGTTGGAGAGACATTCATTCAATTTGAATGGTAAAATTTTAAGTTATTTAAAAAAAAGATAAAATGAAATTTGATGAATTAAAGAATAGATTATTGGCAAGACGATGCAATGGGTTTGCGTCAATATTATTGTAATTGGAGAAAACAAAATAGTTGAATTGTATTCGTGAAGAGAAAGAGAAGAGAAGGCGCGATGGCGACGAGGAGGAGTAAGGAGTGTAAGTTCGTGGCAATTTCTCTGATTGGACCCGGAAAGTGACACTGACGTATCGCTTTTCTCACTACGTGTCAATCTCTTATTTGTGAGCCTGCGACATCTTACTTTTGCTTTTCCCATTCTAACCCTCGCGCTCGCTACATTCAAGAATGGCAGAGATGTTATTTTAGTAAAAGGCCAGGGGTAATAGAACACAGTGTATGCAAAACGCGTTTTTGATTTTGTCATTAGAAAAACCAAAACCAAAACAGGGAAAAGAAAAGAAAAGAAAAGAAAAGAAAGTAAAAGAGACCGCCCATATAAAAGTGCGTTCTTCCTTTCACGGTTCTTCTTCATTTTCATTCTCTCTCAAAACTCAAAAAGTAAATCGCACTCTCTGATGCCTGAGGCCTGAGCCTGAGCGAGCTTTTGACCCTT